AGGATATTCAAGTGGCCAACAAACATATGAAGAAATGCTCACGATCATTAGCTACTTGTTGTTGTTGTTATGTGCCGTCGAGTCGGCCCTGACTCATAGCGACCCCTCCTTGGGTTTCCGAGGCAGTATCACTACAGAAGTAGGATTGCTCAACCTTCCTTACCTACACTAGGCAAATTTTTATTTAAAAGATTCTTAGCAAAATCAAGAGCAATTAATTTAGCAGGTTTAAAAGCCTTTGAAGGAACACTGGTGGTGCAGTGGTTAAGTGCTTGGCTGCCAACCAAAAGATCAGCAGTTCGAACTCACCAGCCCCTCTATGGGAGAAAGACACGGCAATAGGCTTCTGTCAAGATTATAACCTTGGAACCCTATGGGGCAATTCTACTGTGTCTTATATGGTCACTAAGAGTTGACATCGACTTGATAGCATAAGACAACAACAAAAGCCTCTGAAGAAACCCAACTATGAGAACTCTTGGCAAACAGTAATTTAAAGAATTGAGGAGGGTACCTTTCTTCAGAGAAGTCAGACTGTTGTGTTAAGCAGCTATGATGTTAAACAGATGTTCAAAATGGCTATATAACAGATTCCAAACATATTCTAAAAATCAGAAGTTCTTTTTACCAGAAGAATGGACAAATTAGTCTTAGAAGAAATATAATCAAAATGCTCCTTAGAAACAAGAATGGCAAAACTTTGTTCATGTCATCAGGAAAGACCAATCCTAAGAAGGGCACCATGTTTGGTAAAGTAGAGGGTCAGTGAGAAGGAGTGAAACTCAATGAGATGGATTAACACAATAATCACAGCAAGGGGCTGAAGTGTACCAATTATCACTAAGATGGGATGGGTTGCATTCTGTTGCATGTAAGGTCACCATAAAATGGAGCCAACTCAAAGGCAACCAACAACTCCAACCTCTAATTTTCCCTCCAAAAAAAGACCCTCAAGACTCTGAAACTTCTATACTTTCATCCTTGGAACTCTCCCTAAGCTAGAAACCATTAAGTATCTATCACTTCAAAAAACTGTAGATTCTTAAGAGTCATGGAAATATCTTTGAATTTTTTTTCAAGCATACTAGCCCAATTAGTACAGTGAAATGTCATGAATTTCAAAGCCAGTAAACCTGGATTTACCATCTAACTTGGTCTCTGCCTGGCTGTGTGACCTTGCCACCAAAACTTGAGAGCTAGTAACAACTTTAAACCAAAACAAAAAAGTATGTAATACTAACAATATGAACAGAACCCAACATTTAATATTGGGCAATCCTACTTCTGTAGTGATACTGCCTTGGAAACCCAAGGAGGGGTCGCTATGAGTTAGGGCTGACTTGACAGCACATAACAACAACATGTGCTAGGCACTGTTCAGCAGTTAACGTACATGTGAAGATTACACAAATTAGTATATGTATTAATTCATTAATCCTCACTCAAGTCTTGATTCTGTTCTTACTAACTGTGTAACTTGGGCAGTTTCATTATCTTCATAATAATCCCACAAGATAGGTACCTTTCTCTCCATTTTACAAACTGAACCACAGGTTAATCTAAATGTCAATGGGGTTTGATAAGTGGTAATTTACACAGCAAACTAATGGTTAGGACATAACTCAGGCAGTGTGGCTTAAGTCCATTGTTAACCTCTACATTACAGTTTCTCACAAGGTATATGTATACAGAATTATAAAAATGGATTAGGAAGAAATACATTAAATTTTTTAACATAGCTTGTTGGGTTCCAAACTGTTTACACTATTTAAGACATTACCCCTCAATGGATGAGTTCCAAGACTGCTGGAGACAGTAACAAAATCTTAATAATACTAAAAAAAAAAAAAATCTAAATTTGCAACCCTCAATACCTCCTATTTCAAGTACTATTTCATTTTCTTGTTTACCATCTGTCTTCCCCAATTAGAATGTACGGACCTCTAGGGGAGGAATTTGTGTTCACTGTGCTACTTGACTGCTAACCAGAAGGCTGGTGGTTCAATCCATCAGTCACTCCTGGGAAGGAAGATTGGGCAATCCACTTCCGTAGTGATATCGCCTTGGAAACCCAAGGAAGGGTCACTATGAGTTGGAGTTGACTCGATGGCAGTGAGTTTGCTGGGGTGTTTTTTTTTTTGGTTTGTGCTATATCCTGAACATCTGGAACAGGGCCCAGCACATAGTAAAACCCACTGCCATGGAGTCAAATCCAACTCATAAAGACCCTATAGGGCAGACCAGAACTGCCTCACAGGGTTTCCAAGGTTGCAATCTTTACTGGAACAGACAGCTTCATCGTTTTCCCATGGAGTGTCCAGTAGGTTTAAACCACCAACCTTTTGGTTAACAGCTGAATGCCTTAACCACTGCGTTACTAGAGCTCCTAGCACATAGTAAGCACTTCAAAAATACTTACTGAAGGAATAAATTACTGAATGGTTGTGTGGTGGATAGAAGAGAGGAGATACGGGTCCAAGGATAAGGGGGAAAGGCAACTTCAATTATACCTGCAGTTTCATTTTCTAAAATATCTCAAAAGATTTAAAACACATATAGCAAAATGTTAATTCATGGATGTTTGTTATTTTTTCCTATCTTCTTATACACTTAACATGAAAACAAAAAAAACAACTTCAAAGTAACATATTAAAATTATCTAACACATAGTTTGTGCCGAAAAGGGAAGCAAAGATTGACTTACTCAAAAGTGATGGGTAATTAGTTGCTGGTGGAAGGGATGGTGGCAGTGGCATTGGGGAGCTAAATTATTTTCTAACTTTCTCTTGCCGACAGACAGACACTGCACGTGCTGTACTAACTAGAGGCTGTTGACTCCAACCCAAGACGACCCCATGTGCGCCAGAGTAGCACTGGGCTCTATTGGGCTTTTGATGCCTGCTTTCTGGAAGCATATTGCCAGGGCTTTCTTTCAAGGCACTTTTACATGGACTGGAACCTCCAACCTTTCAGTTAGCCACCAAGTGCATTAACCATTTGCAGCACTTAGGGACTCCAGGTGCTATATCCAATCAGGTTATCCCTCACATTCACATACTTACCTGTATAATGCTGCATAGTATCGATCTGATATTGTCTGTTGAGAATTCATTACTTGGAAGAGCAACATTAAAGCCTGCACACTTGTATTGAAATTTACAATATACAACAATTTAAACAGAGTGTCAAGTTGCTCCCTTACTTTGTCATCACCAGTCTGGGAGTAAGGGTATGCCCTATTTACTCCTGTTAAAAGTGCACTGAGCATTTTTGACTCAATATCTTTTTTCTTGATACAAGTCCGAAAAAAACAAAAATAAAGAGTTATTAATTTGTTAGCCAATTCACTTTCTTCATGGGAGAGGGTCATTTGATTTAAAAAGCAAATTGCGTAATACTGAGCTTTGGGGCTGATATTTGTGCGAAACAGTAGCCTTTCTACTTCACTACATACAACTCCTTTCATATTGGGATGCTTAGAAAGTAATGTCTCTAACAGATGGGAGGCTTTGGTGGCTATTCTGTTCTGAGGATCTCCCAGTTTATTCACCACCTGCACAAGAAGAGCCTTTTCTTCCTCGGGTTTGTTACAAAGAAGCTCATGAGCCACCACAAGCGCCCGAGTTTTAGTGGTGACTAATGAGTCATGACTCAATGTTTCCAAGATGTGCACAAATTCAGCCACTAAGTGTTTCAGCTGGTGTTCAAAATACCATATCATCAGTCTTCTATCTCTTGAGTCCTTGTTGCCACTGGACAACTCTTCGAGTTTGTGGAAAGGCTGCTGGCTAAAAATACGGAGCTTTCGACTGTCTGGCAAAAGGTCTGTAATGAGTAACTCTTTGAAAGTATCCAGAGCCATGAGGCACTGCTGTTTGCTGCCCTTCTTTTTAACGAGGTTCAAGAGAGTTTCTACAAACTGGAGTGTGTGAACAGCATCATCCTGAATAAGAAGAATCATGGCAGCCATCCTGTCAGCTAGCGTCCCCGATGACACTATTGCCTTCATCCAGGTAGAAGAGCCTCCCTTTTGATTACTTGTCTTACTTTTGAATAAGTTAATTTCATGTTCATACAACTTCTGAGCCAAGGTTTTATACTCTGAAACAACATCCCGAGGCTGGGGTTCCAAAGAATATTCATTGCTATATTCCAGATCATACCATTTGCCTCCAGGTTTCAGTAACAATGTCTGTCTCTCAAGAAATTCAAAAATGTCCTGTTGCTTATCTTTCTTTACTCTCGATGTGGTGCTGTTGTTCTCAGGAAGTTGTTCCGGTCTCTTCTTACTTTTGATTTTACTGATTGATGTCCTTTCACTTTCTGCTATATTTTGCTTTTTATTATCTACATTAGATCCATTTGCTTCTTTTTTATTGGTACTTTCTTTTTTAGATGGTTGACCATCTTCTTCAATTAAGAAAGTTTTTGCATACTTGGCCAAACTAAGATTTTTAATAAATGCTTCCAATTCACCTTGCTGAAGATCATCAATTGCTCCTTTTTTGCCTCCATCTACCAATTCCTCATTCTCATCCAAAGCAGCCAGCATAAGGTAATCTTGCTGGGGGAGAAAAAAAAGGAAGTTAAAAATATACTACCAATCCAATAGTTTAGTTAAACCTTCAAAAATTAATTTGAATTTGGTATCTTTGCAATCAATTAAACTGTATCATCACAGCATTGCCTGAGCTCCCACTCAAAATAAATACTTGATGGGTTAATTTAAATGTGAACAGTAAAGCCATAAAAAAGTAATAATAATAAAAACTTATCCTAGTGTAGGGAAAATCTTTCCAAATTTGACGTAAAACTCAGGGCCCCAAAAGGAAAGGACTGACTCATAAACTTATCATTTTCTCTCATATACAACAAGCACAAATTTCAATTTGTATTAGAGTACTTGGGCTTACTACACCTTAATATAAGAGTTTCTACACAGCAAATAATAAAATGACCAATAACCAAATAGAAAAGTGTGTAGAGGATATGAACATTTTGTAGAAAAAAATGGTTCTATAAAAACACAAAAAGATGTTCAACCTCCCTGATATGTACAGAAATCCAAATTAAAACTACAATGATATTTTTTAATCTATCAAATGAGCAAAAATAAAATTATGACACCTGATGTTGGGGTGAGGATGAGGGAAAAAGCTACATTAGTCCACTGCTAATGCGAGTGGAAACTGGCACAACCTCTATGGAGGGCAATTTACCAACTTCAACCACAATTACAAGGCACATATCCTTTGTTTGACTTAGTAGTTCTACAGTATTAACTTACATACACACTTAAAAATGTGAAAAAAAAATATGGATTTAAGGTTATTCACTGGGGCATTTCTGAGACAGCAACTGCAATAACTTAAATGTCCACAATAAATGACTCACTAGATAAATTAAGACAAATATAATGATTTATGAAACCATAAAACAAATAACACATTAATTCATATGGAAGGATCTCTAAGACAGTGTAACAGCATAAAAAATACAAAACAGCATACATATAATACTATTTGTGTAAAAAGTAACATACGTGTAACTTTTTTTGCACATATACATCTATATACGTGTATGTGTGTGTCTATCTATGTATATGCTTGGAATGTATAGTGTTCCTAGAAGATATAAAAGACACTTGTGTTGTTGTTGTTATGTGCCACGGAGTCCAACCCGACTCACAGCGACCCCTCCTTGCGTTTCCCGGGTGGTATCACGGAAGTAGACTGCCCACCTTCCTTCCGAGGAGTGGCTGATGGGTTTGAACTGCCAGTCTTCTGTTTAGCAGTCAAGTGCCTAGGCACTAGCCACCAGAACTCCTAGAAAAGACACTTCTAGAAGTTACTATTTCCTGAAGGGAAACTGGATGAGCAGAGATAGGAGTGGGAAACAAGATTTTTTCACCAAGTACTCTCCGTCCCTTTTTTTTTTCCCTTCCTTTTTAACCTTTTAAAGTTTGTATCACGTGGATGTGGAGCCCAAGTACAGAGCAAACTGCTGAGTCTGCCCCTGTAGGTTGTGTTTCTACTTCTAATCCCCCAAAATCTAGTCTCACAATAAAATAGTATTTTTAAACATAAGTCAAATCTTGCCATGTATGTGTTCAAAATCGTCTAATGAGTTCACATCTAACTGAAAGCAAAAGCGTGCTTTCTTACCTCTCTAACCTAAGTTCTTACTACTATCCTCTTACCTTGCTCTGTGTCAATCATATTAACATTTTTGTTGTTCTTGGAATAATACGTCAGACACATTCCTGCCTCAGACTTTCTTTGCATTTGCTGTTCCATCTAAATGGATGCCACGGTTCACTCTTTCCTCCCCTTCAGTTTTTGCTCAAATATCTTCTCAGTGATACTTTTCCTGATCATCCTTTTCCTTGCTTTATTTTCTCCCTAGCACTACTCAGCATCAAGTCGGTTTACTGTTTCTGTCCTAATTAAAATGTATATGCCAAGAGCATACGGTTTCTGAAGTGTACAATTAGTATGTTCTTGTACTCTGTGCGAACAGATTTGAATCCTACACCACTGGAATCTAAACACTGATGCCACGAGGTCAGAACGAGTCCTCTTCGATTTGACTGCGTGACTCTACGCCACGTCAATAAAAAGAGGACCGCCTATACCCTAAGAAAAGTCAATTTGAGACGACTTTTCTTCTGTTAAGAGCTGTGGAAAAGAAGAGTGCAGGAAGCACACAAAGCACAATCCGAAGCTACGGTCTGGGTCTCCCTTTTTGGAGGGCCCGGAAGCCCGCGGCCATTACCTTGGTGCCTCCGAGCCGTAACACTTCTTCCAGGGAGAACCCACTCTCGTCTTCATCGTTGTCATCCTCTTCGTCCTCGTCTGGATCTTCTACCGTCTCTTCCGGGCCCCAGGGCCTCTTGGCATGGAACTCCAAAGGCTTCTTAGCTGCAGCCATGGCTAGCTAGCAAAGCACGCGCGCACTGTCCGGAGCTTACTTCCGCTTTGCCGAGTGACGTACTTCCGGGTGTGTGTATGTATGTATGTATGTATGTATGTATGTATGTGTATATATATGTGTGTGTGTGTGTGTGTGTGTGTGTATATATGTGTGTGTGTGTGTGTATATATATATATATATGTGTGTGTGTGTGTTGGGGAAACGAAACATTTCCTCCCGGAAATGGCCACAGTCCCCGCCCCCGAGCTGGTCAGTACGGCGTGTAGAGCTCAACATGAGTGTCTTCTTGAGAGCCGGAGCTTGGCCACTGTGCCCCGCCGCCCAAGCTGGTAGGCATCTGCGCCTCCTGAGCCCCAGTGCAGTGGGACCGCCTGGACGCCTTCCTTGTAGCCCCTGTTTGGGGATCGGGAGTTCATTGTAGCCGTAGGCGCTCTGGGTTTACACGAGTGGCTGTGTGGTCGTGGGTACTGCTCGCCCCCTCCGCATCTTGGTGGCGGTGTGCGTGACTTTAGGTCTTGATCCTGGGTTAGGGAGCGTTTAAGGGTTAAAGAAGCTGCTTTGAGATCGCTCGGGTTACCTTGCGTATGTAAATACTAAGGTTTTTAAGGGGTTCTGTTTGATTTGGTTGTTTTTTCGTAGTCATTCCTTACCTTTGGAGAGGGCAATGCTTCAGCTCCGGGAAAGAGCCTACAGAAAACAGCCCAGTGACTCCGATGCTGCGGCATTTTATGTACAAAATCAAGTCTACTGGTCCCATTACTGTGGCCGAGTACATGAAGGAAGTTTTGACTAACCCAGCCAAGGTAGGAGTCGGGGAGCCGGAGGACCAAGCCGAAGAAGCAGATTTGCCAAGTTTGGGTTCTGTCCGATTGCCAGAAGGAGCCCGAGGGTTCTCAGCCCAAGCAGCTGGATTGTTTTCCCAGCGAAAATCTTGGGATAGATAGATGAATTTCATTTGGTCCTTCCTGGCCCAGTGGGTTGGTAGTTGTGATTTACTGCTCATTTTAGATAAGATGATCTCAAAAGACATAGTCACCCACTAACTCAGGTTGTGTCGTCCTGAGGGAGGCTTCGTTAATTTATTCTGCAGATATTTACTGGGTACCCAGCAATAGAGGCAAAGGGCCGGGGATAGAGCGAAGAATAAAACGCCTCCTTCATGGAGCTTAGGGTAGAGGTATAAACTAGGTAGAGGTATAAACTAGCCCCTGCTGGGGTTAGGTTCACTGGCTCTCAAGTTGATAGAATCCATTATTGTGTTCGTGGTCTAAACTTTTCCAAAGAATAACTCATCTTTTGTGAAGTTTAATTATGGCCAAAACATAATTTAATAGCATAAAACATTTATTGGCCTGTCTATAATTTTTAAATCCCTTGAAGAAAAATGTTGATTATTTGGTATTTGAAATTAAAGCTACTATATGAATGAAAGTTTTTACAATTAAAGACTCAAGTTTATTTGTTAATTGCCAATAATTATGGAAACTGGATTTTCTAACAGTGTGTGAACAAGTGACTTATTGCTTACAGAGCACTTACTGTCTGCCTAGCTCTGACCAGGGCTTCACATGGGTTCATTCCAGTTCCGTCCCCTCCTGAACATTTGCATTTCCACCCTAGATGTACTTACTCAGACTCTGCATTTTAACAAGAATTGCAGAATCACTTTTATCACCTTGTTTTGGGATCTCGTTAAAATGTACATTCTGATTCAGTGTATCTGGGGTGGGAATCCAAATGATAAGCTGGAGGCCAAATCAGAATGAACTGGTTTGAAGCCCTGGCTCTGAACTAAGCAGTTTCGGCAGTTAGGGCCTAACAATCTATGATGAATACATTTTTTTCTCCATTTTATAAATGGAGCTGCTAAGCTTACTTGCTGAGATTGTGCAGGTAATAGGAGACAAAACTGGGACTGGGACCAGGCAACCAGATTCCAGAACCCATACTGTTAGCCCTTTGCTGCCTCGTAATTCAGTATAAATGCTGTAATGAGAGTGTGTTCCAAGGGTTATGGTAAGTTAGGGGAAGGATAGCCAACTGAGGACTAGTCAGGAAATGCTTCTAAGTAGCAGAGGTTCCTGAGTTTATCCTTGAACTATGAGTGAATTATCTGTTGGAGGAAAGGGGAATGGTATTCAGAGAAATTGACCAGTATGAACAAGGGCTCAGAAATAACCTTGCTAGAGCCCCAGAGGTGTGTGACAGGGTGGCAGATATAGGCAGGGACCAGATCTTAAAAGGCTTGGTGTGAGTTGCTTGTAGTTTGGTCATTACTCTGAAGGCGATGGAGAACCTTTGAAATTGTTTGAGCAGAGATTTGTGTGTTAGACATTTTACTTGGATGATAGGTGAACAATGGGCTGGATGTGGAAGAGGCTGTTGGCAGAGAGCTCAGGACAGATGCTCTGGTAGCATAGTGCCTAAGGCACTTGACCGCTGGCGGTTCACACCCACCAGTGACTCCTTGGAAGGAAGGTTGGGCAATCTACTTCCATAGTGATACTGCCTTGGCATCCCAAGGAGGGGTCGCTTTGAGTTGGGCCGACTTGATGGCACATAACAACAACAACAACAACAAGTGCCTAAGGTATTTGACTGCTAACCAGAAGGCTGGTGGTTCAAACCCACTCCTCGGAAGGAAAATTGGGCAATCTACTTCCATAGTGATACTGCCGTGGAAACCCAAGGAGGGATGGTAATGAGTCTGGGCCAACTCGACGGCACATAACAATAACAGGTCAAGTCAGTGGTGGTGCTGATAAAGGGGACTCTAGTAATCTTAAAGTCTCCCACTATGAGTGTGGAGTCATCTATTTGGCTTTTCAACTCTTTTAA